TTAGGTCCCCCAGGTGGCCTGCGGCTTTAGACCGGCTTGGTGGACTCTGGGGGGGCCCTCCCGGGATAATAACACAGCAGTTATCCTCTCAGCAGGGTGTTTTTACTTCCCTTATCCATGGAAATGGAACCCCGAAAAATGTGGAGAGGTTGTGGCAACAAATACTTTACCGATGAGGATGAAAAACAGTGACTAGGGGCACGGAAGACCAACAAGCTATTACCCCGGAACTAAGACCACCAGAGTTGAGGTTAAGGGCGTTCTAGGTATGCAACTCCTTTACTCGGGAAAAAGTTTTTCCTCTTTAGGCCCCCCCTGGATGCAGTGGTCAAGGCTGAGAGGACTGGAAAAAACACCTGCTGACAGACCCAGAGAGCTCGGGCTTTTGAGGGGAGTAAAGAAAAATGGGGGTTTTTCAACTGCAAGGGGAAAAACCCACCCCGGACTGCATCAGTAGGAAAGTGGTTTTATCCCCCATCACATGGTGCAAAAAAATGGTAAAAAGGGAAAGGGTTTCTTTTATTGTTATTCCAATAAAATGCCGGATTACAATACAAAGGCCTCCCTTTTTTGGAGTCCTTTTGCCTTCAGGGAGCACAGTGTTGGTATTAGTGGACATTAGAGCATGTTCCCCCCAAGTGGTTGCTGCCTGAAGACAAGCCCCCCTTTTTTGCCCTCTGGGCAAATGCAGAGGAAAGAAAGCCCCAAATATTTTATGGCAGGGGCTGGTTTTTTGGGGTCACCTCAGTCCTTTTTGTGCTACCTATGAACTCCAGCCCATGTCTTAGTCATAGCACGCGAGAGAAAGAGCGGGGTTTCAGTTAAAAGGGGTTTTTTAGTAGAAACGTTTACGAGCCTGCCATCTTCCAAGGGACTAAGCGTTTTAGCGCCCAAGCCCTTTGCCCCTGGAGGATTTGATTCCTTCAGTGGGCCAGCAATGAGCCAAAGGCATAAAACCTTTCCATCAAAGGGGTCAGGTCAAGTAAGTTGGAGTTTGGGGGGCCACGATAAGTCGAAGCATTGAGTGGGGGTTTGGTTTTAGCTGGCAGTGTGATACAGATACCTTTGGGTTTAAGACAGATAGTCACCTACAAGAGGGCCCCCATGCGCAACATCTATGGTTTTGGGTAGTAGTAACCCCCCTGGGGGTATCTCCCCCACCACACAGGCCAAATTTTTGGTCCAACATGGGGCAGGCATAGGAAAATGGGAGACCCCCAAATTTTTTAGACCGGGTTAGGGGTTCTGAGAAGGCCTGTGGGGGAGCGGGGTCCCCCTAACCCCAAAGGTTTGGAAGTTCAGAAAGAATGGGTAAAGTAAGCCCTCCTTGCACGTTTAAGAGGGACCCCGGAAGAACATCCATACCCGGTTGGAGGTTTTTGCACGGGGCACAGGTGCTCATTTGAAAAGTTTTTGAAGGCGGTCACCCTTAACATCCGCCATGTTGCCCTGAGGAGTGATTCCACCACTGTCCTTTCATGGCTTCATTCAGTCATGTCGGTTCAAAGTATTTGTAGACACCAGGGTTGCAGAGATACAGGAGTTACAGTTTTTAAAGCCTCAGCAAAACCCAGCTGATCATCTCACTCGAGGCAAGACACTCCAGGAGCTTTTGATACCCAACCAGTGGAGCGTTGGGCCAGGATTCCTACAGTCACCTCCTGATGAGTGGCCAGCACTCATTCCATCATCCAACTCTACATTGGTTGATACGTCGGTACGCGGTATTGACTGCTTTGGTCCGCTCCAAGTGAAGGTGGGTCGAAGGACAGAGAAGAGATGGGGACTTGTCTTTAAGTGCCTCACTACTCGGGCAGTACACCTGGAGGTTTTTCCCCCCGATTTGGATGCCCTTTTTAAATGGGATGCGAAAAATAGCCGACGCGGCAAAAAACCCCATGAGTTGTACTCAGACCAAGGAAACCCAATTCGAGGAGGGGAAAAGGGAGCTTTAAAAACACCTTTCCAAGCTAAGGTTTTACTTTCAGCAGTGGTTGCTGCTACCCGATTTATTCCCCCTTTTAAAACCCACCCGTGCCTCCTTTTTGGGGGGACTTGGAGCGGAAAACTGTTAGTCAAGTAGCTCTTACACCACTATTTTGGTTCACCAAAAAGTGACTGAAGAATGCTTACGACGTTCTTTTAAAGTGGAGGCCCCTACAACTCAAACCCCTGGGGGAGTTTGGTAAGTGATGATTGGACCCCGTCACACCAAACCGTTTTTGATTTTTGGGCGGGCCTATGGTCGTGCCAAGGTGGTTTTTTCCACAGTCAGAGATCTTTGGGCGCGGAAAAAAGGGGGCGAACCGCAGTTGCTGGCGACAGATTCGGAAATTTCAAAAGGAATATTTACCCAGTCTGCAGACAAGGAGAAAGTGGAGATCTGTGTCTCCCTTTTACAGTTGGATCATTTTTAATGTTGGATCAAAAACCTTCCCCCGATCGTTTGGCAGTTTGGGAAGGCGGGAGAGTCTTTCCCGGAGCTGAGGGCCCCCTATCAGGACCCCCGGGGTCAGATAAAGGATAAAGTGTATCCCCGGGAATTTGCCCGCCCTAATGGTTCTTACCGAGATCCCAGATGAGGGAAAAAAAAGGGAATGAATAGATTATGGTCTTTCTAGAGTGCCTTTTGTCCAAATGTGGGGGGGGGCAATGTGGAAAGACCCGATAACCAAACAGGTGGATCTATTTTCTGTGCGGATTAATCCACAACCGCACCACACTTGTTGCGTGCACGGAGGGAGAGAGCGATATCGACTTATCAGGAGTGCTGAGAGCTGTGAGTAGGGTATCCAGCAGTTTGTTTTTAAAGTTACAGAGTTGAAAAAAGAGAATATCACCCAGCATGTTAGTGAATGTTCAAATGCGTCATGAGAATGTAAATGTTTATCATGGTGGGGCAGGAAGATTTTCCCAATATAACTTTCTTTTTTAGCGTTTTGTTTTTGGGCATCAGCTTAGTTAGTGGCTTTTTTAAAGTCTGTATATAGTCGATAGTTTTTGTTAATGGGTTTTTCTGAAGGCTAGTGTTTATATCAATCACTTTATGCCCATTTAATTACCTTTTAGGGCCGGTAAAAACGGTGTGTATTTTCCCCTTTGTTTGTCTATTTTTTTTTGGGTTTAACTTGGCTGGTTTATGTTGGCCAATAAATGGCAGCAGAGTCCTATTTTTTAAAAAAACTACACTTGTTCAGGCTGAAAGGGATATTTAATGCCAGTTCCCTTTCATTTGGGTTCAGTTTAAGCATGTAAGCATGTTCAGGTAGATTGCTTTATGAACTTTAGTGATATTTTACATTGATTATTGTATTTCTGTTTCCCTTTAGACCACAATCATAAACCTTTACATCTACTACCTGTATGCCCCAGTTCTTCAATAAATCTGCATTCAATATACACAAACTGCATCCTGACTCCAGAAGTGTTCTTATCGACACCCCAAGAAGACACCAATACAGCAGAACCTTACCTTATGGTCCATAAGTAATCCTGGATTTTTTCATTTTGTTTTCAACTTATTTAACTGTACAGCACTTTAGTCCTGTGCTTGTTGTTTAAATAGCTTGGATTGGATTTTGCTTGAGTTACATTGATCATTAATTTGTCTTAATATGTACTTTTACTTAGATAAATGTCTTTGTATTTTATAATAAACATTGTGTGTATTTTGAACTGAAGGTTTTGCCTATACTTCATTGCAAAACAGAAATATTCAATAGTATTCATAGTACCACAGATTCTTAAATTAATTTAGGTCTGCACTTTGACTGGGCCATTCCAACACATAATTAAAGCTGCAAGCAGCATTGAAGGCCCTCGCACCTCAGCGCAACTCGGCCTGTGCAGCGACCGCGGGAGCCTGGCATCGCCAGCTGGGGCCCTTGACGAGGGAGGCTGCCCATAAGTTCCCACACATTGCCACTAGGAGGGGACTGTGAGCGGAATGTCCATATGATCTTCGGTAATGCCAGAGTTCTCATCTGGCGAGAAGCATTTAAAATTTGGGGGGGAAATCCAAACCCCAATAAAAGGAGCCACTCAGTTTTTAATTAGTGGGGCGGGGACCCTGAAAGATGGTATCAGTTAAATTTGTGTTCAACATTTTCCATCATTAACTGATAATCACGTATACTACCATTCAAGTGGATTCGATGAAGTATGGGGAATATAAACCCTTGATGTGTTTCCTAGGATGCGCTATTGATCCAAATTTTCAATGAAACCAATAGAGCAATAGATAAACCCCCATATTTTTTTTGGGAGTGAATCGGACCATGCATGTGGAAATTTTTTAGAGCCCAAAATTTATGGCCCGTGGCGTGACATCAGAATTTCCCCCAGCCATCATAGCCACACCCTCCAGCCTAAGCTGTCAAGACTGGGGGACTGCTAGGACCACTTTGTTATCTGTTACTTGGGACAGTTTCACATCAAAAATTGACTCTCTACAGGAAAACATGACACTTCCTGTTCTCAGGGGGCGGGGCTTCGATGATGTCAGCATCTGATCAGTGAATATTGTTCAGGGCCAGAGGCAGATCAATCTCAGAAGGTTTCAGGTCTCTGTGACTTTCCTTGTAGGAGCTATATCAATTTCGTCTTTTGTGGCGAGAAGTCATATTTTGAGGCTTGGCCACGGCAAAAAATAATATGAAAATGCTTGCATTTAAATCATTCTATTGTACCACTGGCTGCATGTTTAGTGCTTCTGTGTTATTTTTTTGTCTCTGCTCTGTTCTCTCAAACCCCCAGTTGGTCATGGCAGATGACCGCTAACACTGAGCATGGTTCGGCTGGAGGTTTCTTCCTGTTAAAAGGGAATTTTTCCTCTCCACTGTCGCTACATGCATGCTCAGTATGAGGGATTGCTGCAAAGTCAATGCCAACGACTGTCTACTATCTCTACACGCTCATCCAGGAGGAGTGAATGCTGCAAGTCACTGACTCGATACAATCTGCTGGGTTCCTTGGATAGGAAAACTTTTGTATATATGTAGGGCTGCACGGTGGCGCAATTGGTAGCACTGTTGCTTTGCAGCAAGAAGGCCCTGGGTTCAACTCCCGGACGGCGGTCTTTCTGCATGGAGTTTGCATGTTCTCCCCGTGTACTCCGGCTTCCTCCCACAATGCAAAGACATGCCTGTTAAGTTAATTGGTCTCTATAAATTTCCCGTAGGTGTGTGAATGAGTGTGTGTTACCCTGAGATGGACCGGCACCCTGTCCGGCGTGAATCTCGCCTCCCGCCCATTGACTACTGGAGATAGACCCACTATGGAAGAAGCGGTAGAAAATGACTGACTGACTGGAATGTATGTACCCGACTGGAATTTATGTACCTGACTTGAAATCTGTATGATTCAATTGAATTGACTTTGTAAAGTACCTTGAGACATGTGCTATATAAAAAAACCTGAATTGAATTGTTGAATAGTTAGGGTTTTTGAAGCCCCTGCCAAGTTTTCGTCTCGGAAGCTTTTTGTGTCCCCACAGCATGACTCTGCCACAACCATGTTTTACAGTGGACAGGATTTGTTCAAGGTGATTCATTGTTAGTTGTTTTTTTTTTTTTTCACATTGCTTTTTGTAGATAAGCTAAAAAGTTACACTTGGTCACATCTGACCTGGCCACCTTCCTCTATGTGTTTTTTGTGTCCCCTACGTAGTTGGGGCTACACAATTAATAGTTGTCCTGTTATCAGATTCTCCCACCTGAGCTGTTGATCTCTGCAGTAATAATGTAATTAATTATAATTATAATTAATTATAAATTATAATGTAATTAATGTAAATGCTCGGTCAGCCAGTTTAGGTTGATGGCAATATTTTGGCAGATTTACAACTGCACCATTTTCTCTCTCTCTCTCTCTCTCTCTCTCTCCACATATATATATACAGGGGTTGGACAATGAAACTGAAACACCTGGTTTTAGACCACAATTATTTATTAGTATGGTGTAGGGCCTCCTTTTGCGGCCAATACAGCGTCAATTCGTCTTGGGAATGACATATACAAGTCCTGCACAGTTTGGTCAGAGGGATTTTAAGCCATTCTTTTGCAGGATAGTGGCCAGGTCACTACGTGATACTGGTGGAGGAAAACGTTCCGACTCGCTCCTCCAAAAAACCCAAAATGGCTCAATAATTTTTAGATCTGGGACTGTGCAGGCCATGGGGAGATGTTCAAATTCACTTTCATGTTCATAAACCAATCTTTAAAACCAGTCTTTGGGGGGTGTGTATTGGTGCATTGTCATCCTAATACACAGCACCCCCTTCAGGATACAATGTTTGAAACCATTGGATGCACATGATCCTCAAGAATGTTTTTCGGTAGTCCTTGGCAGTGACGCGCCCATCTAGCACAAGTTTTGGGCCCAAGGAATGCCATGATAGGGCAGCCCAAACCATCACTGATCCACCCCAATGCTTCACTCTGGCATGCAACAGTCTGGGTGGTACGCTTCTTTGGGCTTCTCCACACCGTAACTCCCCGGATTGGGGGGGGAAAACAGTAAAGGTGGACTCATCAGAGAACAATACATGTTTCACATTGTCCACCCAAGATTTGCGCTCCTTGCACCATTGAAACCGACGTTTTTGGCATTGGCATGAGTGACCAAAAGGGTTTTGGCTATAGCAGCCCCGGCTGTGTATTTTGACCCTGCGGAGCTCCCGACGGACAGTTCTGGTGGAAAAAGGGAGTTGAGGTGCACATTAATTCTGCCGTGATTTGGGCAGCCGTGGTTTTATTTTTTTGGTTTTACACTCCGGGTTAGCACCCGAACACCCCTTTCAGACAGCTCCTTTTTGCGTCCACAGTTAACCGTGGTGGGGTTCCTCTTTTTGGTGGTTTTGCTGACATTACCCTGGATACCGTGGCTCTTGATACATCACAAAGACTTGCTGTCTTGGTCCAAGATGCGCCAGCAAGACGTGCACCAACAATTTTTTTTCCCTTTTTGAACCTGGTATGTCACCCATAATGTTGTGTGCATTTCAATATTTGAGCAAAACTGTGCTCTTTTCCCCTGCTAATTGAACCTTCACACTCTGCTCTTACTGGTGAATTTTGAATCAATAAGACTGGCTCCAAAAAACGGCTGGTAAAATTAGCCATGAAACCTCCCACACTACAATGACAGGTGTTTCAGTTTCATTGTCCAACCCCTATATATATATATATATTTTATATTATATTATATAATTAATTATATTTATGTATGGAAATTATTATATGTATATATTAATATGTATATATATGTGTTATATATATATATAAGTATATATATGATATATATATATGTATATATATTTTTGTATATATATGTTTTTAATATATATATATTTATAATATAAGTGTATATGTATATATATGTATAGGATATATATATATGTATATATATATGTATATATATGTGTGTATATATATATTTGTATATATAGGTTTATATATATATATGTATATATATGTATATGTATATATAGTATTATATAATATATTATAATTTTATATTTTTATATATGTGTATGTAATATATGTATATATGTGTATGTATATATATGTATATATGTGTATGTATATATATGTATATATGTGTTGTATATATGTATACGTTATATAATTATAAAAATATATATATTTTATAATGTATATTTTATAAAATATATATATATATGTTTATTTATAATTAAAAGGTATATATATGTATATGTATATATGTATATATATATATATATGTATATATATACATACATACATACATAGATGCATACATAAAACACCAATTCTCATGATGTTAGGACATTGTGTAACATGTAAATAAAAGCAGTTTATAATGATTTGCAAATCCTGTTCCACCTATATGCAATTGAAAACACCACAAATACAAGATACTTAATGTTCATGATTGGGTATAAAAGGAGCATGCCTGAAAGGCTCAGTCATTCACAAACAAGGATGGGTCTAGGTTCACCACTTTCTGAACAAATGCCTGAGCAATTAGTCCAACAATTTAAGAACTTTTCTCAACGTACAGTTCCAGGAATTTAGGCATTTCACTATCTAAAGTCCATACTATAAGCGAAACATTCAAAGAATCCAGTGAAATCTCTGAATGTAGGCCAAAAAACCAACATTGAATGTCCGTGACCTTTGATCCCTCAGGAGGCATTGCATGGGATTACCACGTGGGCTCAGGAACACTTCAGAAAAACATTGTCAGGTAACATAGTTCTTTGTTACAACTATTAAGTGCAAAGCGAAAGGCATGTATTAACAACACCCAGAAATGCTACCATTTTCTCTTGGCCCGAGGTCATCTGAGATGGACTGACACAAAGTGGAAAAGTGTACTGTAGTCTGATGAGTCCACATTTCAAATTGTTTTTGGAAATAATGGACGTCGTGTCCTCGAGGCCAAAGAGTAAAAGGAGTATCTGGATATTTATCACCAAACAGAAAGCAAGCATCTGTGATGGTATGGGGGTGCGTTGGCGTCAATGACATTTGTAACTTGTTCATCAGTGAAAACAGCGTTAATGCAAAAAAAATGATAATGGAGACCACGGACTGTTGAGCAGCTGAAGTTGTACATCAAGCAAGAATGACAAAGAATTCCACCTACAAAGCCTCCACAATTAGTTCTCAAATTAGTTCCCAAATGCTTATTGAATGTTGCTAAAAGGAAAGGTGATGTAACACAGTGGTAAGCATGTCCCTGTCCCAACTCTTTTGAAATGTGTTGCAAGCATCAAATTCAAAATGAGAGAACCCGTCAGACCCGTCAGTGAGCGCCTGGTGGCTGGGTTGCTCCTCTCGGGATACGGCTGGGCCAAGCCCCAAGGAGAGACGCGAGGCCATCCCCCAGTGGGCCCACCACCAGCAGGGGGAACCATGAGGGACCAGTGCCAAGATGATTGGGGGCAGAAAAAGATGGAGACCTCGGCGGCCCGATCCCCGGATGCTTAGGCTGGCTCTAGGGATGTGGAATGTTACCTCACTGGGGGGGAAGGGTGGGTTTGCTTGTTGCCCCCCGGCTCAGCTGTCTCGTGTTGGGGTTTACCCCAGTGGATGAGAGGGTCGCATCCCTGCGCCTTTGGGTTGGGGACAGGTCTCTAGCTGTCGTTTCGGCCTACGGGCCGGGCGGTAGTGCAAAGGACCCGGCCTTCTTGGCGTCCCTGTCGGGGGTGCTGGATGTCATCCCCGATAGGGGGATGTCTGATGGGGGATGTCATTCTGATGGGGGACTTCAACGCCCACGTGGGAAACGAAACTGACACCTGGAGAGGCGTGATCAGGAGGAATGGCCCATGAATCGGAGTGGTGTTTCGTTATTGGTCTTCTGTGCTAGTCACGGATTGTCCATAATGAACACCATGTTCAAGCATAAGGGTGTCCATCAGTGCACTTGGCACCAGGACAGCCTAGGCAGGAGGTCGATGATCGACTTTGTCGTCGTATCGTCAGACCTTCGGCCGCATGTTTTGGACACTTGGGAGAAGAGAGGGGCTGAGCTGTCCACTGATCACCTCCTGGTGGTGAATTGGATCCGCTGGAAAAGGAGAAAGCTGGACAGACTTGGCAGGCCCAAGCGCATAGTGAGGGTCTGCTGGGAACGTCTGGCAGAGCTCTCGGCCAGGGACAAATTCAACTCCCACCTCCAGGAGAGGTCTGACCAGATTCTGGGGGATGTTGAAGACATAGAGTCCGAGTGGACCATGTTCTCCGCATCTATTGTCAATGCTGCGGTCCGTGGCTGCGGCCGTAAGGTCTGTCGCGGCGGCAATCCCCGAACCTGATGCTGGACACCGGCAGTAAGGGACGCTGTCAAGCTGAAGAAGGAGTCCTATCGGCTGTGGTTGGCTTGTGGGACTCCTGAGGCGGCTGACGAGTACTGTGAGGCCAAGCTTGCTGCGGCCCAGGCTGTGGCAGAGGCAAAAACCCCGGCCTGGGAGGAGTTCGGTGAGGCCATGGAGAAGAACTACCAGTTGGCCTCGAAGCGATTCTGGCAAACCGTCCGGCACCTCAGGAGGGGGAAGCAGTGCTTCACCAACACTGTTTACAGTGGGGGTGGG